TACCTCCTCAATTCAAGAACAAATGCACTTATTTTAAGAAAAAATGACTTATCTAGATTTAGATTTTTTGCAGTGTAGACCCCGCTCTTTATAGTGAACGAGGAGTTAAGGCTCACATTTGGACACAGCCCAGGAAGAAAACAGTGTTTACAAGAGGCGGGACTTGCCGAATAGTAGCCAATCACAGGCAGTTTACTTTCTCAGGGTGGTTTCACTCTCAAAGGCGCAAAAATGGACATGAGGACAGAAACGTATCCGCACTTTATTCGGATAATATACAGAATCTACATTGTGACATCATAGTATAGTACCTGTCAACGATAACAGGTGCCTTGCTGCCCTCTTGGCATATTTGCTCAGCAGTGATGTAGTTTCCCACTGCGTAGAAGGCCCTCCGAATGAGCGGAGGTTCTCGATCAAAGCGGGCTCTCCAGGATGACAAGCACTGGGGTGGAGACCGCAGTAGAGTGGCCCCCAGAGCGTCCCGAAGAGACTCTGTTAGAGTAGTCTTCCCTATATTGGCAACAAAATGACAGAAACACAAAGGAAGGCATATTTACAAGACAACCAAGCACAGACTGTTTTCCAAACACTCCTTCATGACCTGTAAGTGGGAGCCTTCACCAAGTTTATAAAGAGCATTAGACAAGAGACGGATTCAATAAACCTTTTTCCAAGTGATGTAGCTGTTCTGAGGTCATGATACATGATATTCCATTAGGCAGAGCCCACTGACAGATAATGTTCTTAGCAGAGAACAGCCACCCATCATGTTAGAACATCTATGCATCAAGCTGATCCAATATTTATTTATGAGGTAATGGCATTAACCTGTGGCATCCAGGCCCTCTATGACAATAACAGGGAAGTCTGGTTTTCTTCTGGCATCCACTCTGCTGGGAAGCATCTCCAGTACAGACAGGCTCTCTGGGATGATGTCACCACACTGCAGACGAAGAACAGGAGTCAGTTTGCTGCTGTTTAGGAGTCATTAAAAGGTGCTTCACCTTCTCCTCTTGGACTTAAAGTAGAACATTGAAGTAGTTATAGCATATTTTTTACAATTACAAACAGAAATGATCATGTTCTTTTATTTTCTATTTAATTTTTCTCTTTTTGATTCCTTTGTGGAACCGCCATAGCCTGCAGATGCGGCCGCATCTCTTGAGGAGGGGTATCTGTGACCATTTTCACTCCTTAAAACAGACTTTCAATTAGATTTTGTCTGAACTTTGACTATACTACTCCAACATATACGCACCTGTATATGTATCCCTCTATAATGAAAGAAAAACCCACAACGGCCCCAGAAGTTACTAAAATGTGATAAAAATAATAATAAAAAAAATGATAAGAAAATGAAAATCAGAGGTTGCCTTTCAACCTGCTTTAAAATAAAAATAAAATATAAACTCATAAAAAAAGGCCTGGACAAAAAATATGTTTCCCACAGAAGAGACTGAAAATAATGTGACTACACTTCAAAAACGATCTAAAAATTAGTAAAAAAATGTCTTAAATTAAGTGTATTTACCCTTAATTTGAGCAGGTAAATGAGATAGTTTGCCAATGGAATGAGCAATTTTACTTTTAAAATCAGATATTTAGATAATATGAACTTGAAATAAGACAATGCAATTGTGTTTTATAATTTTGAGTGTAAATTGTCTTGTTCCATTGGCAAAATGTCTCCTTTACCTCCTCAATACAAGAACAAATGCATTTATTTTAAGAAAAAATTACTTATCTAGATTTGGATTTTTTCCAGTGTAAAGAGAAATTAAATCAAAGGTGTGGGGGGGGGGCACAAGTGACTAACTTCAGCTTGTTTGATCGTCAAATAACAGACCCAATAAGTGGCGCATCAGATGTTTGTAAAGTGAGCTTCTCAGGACTGACAGCGGTGACAGCCAATCGCACAAGAAAAGACAATGGGCCTATCAGGAGCTTTTGGGCGGGTCTAAACTCAGGGAAGCGGACTGCAGTTTGAGCTGCGGTTCTCCGCTTGGTCCTAGCGCTCAACAAATGTCTGTCTTCTGCAGTGTAACATTGCTTTTTGGACAGTAAAAAGTACAGAGGACCAAAACGGACGTTGCACGGAACATGCACATGCAAAATTACATCCATGCTGTGCTGTTTGGTAACATGGTGTGTCCCACACTCAACATGAAGCAGAGGATTTGAATCTCTGCAGGGTCAAATGAAATCTCCAGACTATCAAGGGATTATAGAGAGAACTGTGCTGCCCGGTGTCAGAAAGCTTGGCCTCGGTTGCAGGTCATGGGTCTTCAACAGGGTAATGATCAAAAACACAAAGAATGGTCAAATGGAAAACATTGATCTATTCTGGAGTGGCCTTCTATGAGACCTGACCTAAATCCTAGTAAGCATCTTCAGAAGAAGCTGAAATATGCTGTCTGGGGAAAAAAAAGTTGATAAAACTGCAGCAGTTTGTTGATGAGGAGTGGGAAGAAATACCTGCTGAAGGAAGAAGAAGATTTATGGACAGGATTGTTTGATTGCATCCTAGAATTTCTAAAAGTAGAATGGGAGGCAGATCTTTTAGTTATCAGGCTCCTCTCCTGTGGAACCAACTA